CTCCCGCCTCGGCCCGCGGCTGGTCCGTGCCCCTGCGGCGCCTCGGCCGGGAGGAGCGCCCGGCCCTGCCGCCCCTCAGCCGGCAGGTAGCAGCCCGGGGAGGGGGCGGAAAGGAGTTAGTTACTCCCCTCCTGGAAGGTGTTGTCGTCCTTCCCTAGTTTTCGTGAGCTCCTCAGTACGCACACTTGAGCCCGGCTTACGGGTCCCTGCCCTTGCTTTACCAGAGATGTCCTTGACTGGGTTTGGGGTAGGGGGGGAAATGCAAGCTTTTTAATTACAGTAAGCAGCTCAGGAGTATTTTGGCAGCTGTTCAGAGCCTTGTGTGTCTGTCCCCCCAGTAGTAAACCCACAGTAGCTGAGCAGAAGGAAGGTGCAGTCCACATTTCAGGAATTTTTCTGAAGCCTTCCTCCAGCCTGCTGTCCATCCTGTCATCGCCCATGAAACTCTGTCCTAAAGGCTCTGGTTTAATGTAGGTGAAAAATAAGCTGGGCGGTACAGCCCATGAATAGGATTTAACAATTGGAAGGAATGCAACACACAGCATGAGAAAGGTGAGTCTAGTATACAATGAAAAACATCCATACTCCTGTTGTGATAGTGTGGCGTGCAAGATGCAGGTTTTTTAAGGATGCTAATGCATACATGATTAAAAAAGTGATGAGCAGAGGAAGGAATGCAGAGTAGCAGGTCTCCTGGTTTTGCGAAATTCTATGTGAAATACTTTCTACAAAATATTTCAGGATTTAGATCATATCTTCCCAAGTAATCTGTGTATAACCATAAGATTCAGCTTACAGTCAACAGAACCTGCCTTGAAAAGCATGGGAGAAGGGTAGGAAGCTACACAAACCTCAGCAGGATGTTTGGGGTTACATGTAGATGATAGCAAAGTAAAACTCAAACTGTGCCTTCCTTCAGGCTTATAACTCCTTTCTGCTTTAGTGTGGACGCAAATGATTAATTCAGATGCTGATAATTTGCCAGTGCCTTTTACAGTTCTCCATGGGCTATCTTCTCTGCCCTCTGTTCTAGTCATCTCTTTTGCTGTACCAAGTGTAATTTTCTCATATACGTGTGCTACTTCACATTTCACATCTACCTTTTAACAGCCTCGTTGCTGCCAGAGCTTCTTCAGCACTTTAACAGAAATAAACGTTAACATCAGAATACTGAACAGTATGATGAAAAATCTAAGGAAATATATCTAAAAATCCCTTTTGCTAGAAGGATACAGCTAAGAAATTGGCATAGCAGAGGAGAAAGAATGCCACAAAAGCCAATTCTTTCATTTTGCCTTAAAAAAACTAAAGTGCATACCAGAGGGATAGAAGAGGCTGCCACTCAGTGAGATCAAAGCTGCAGCTTTTCCTTCGCTATAGTCCGTGGGGAAAGAAAATGAGAAATTCTTGCATCTAAGTAATCAATCTACTTGAGGAAAATCTATGCTATTCATTCCTCAATATGTGAGTGTTTGGGAACCAACAGAACAAGAGCTTCAAATGTAAGAAACTAAATTCTCAAATTATTTATAACATAGTATGTACATTACATATGAATCAATAAAGCTCACTAATTTTGTATTTCCATTATAAAACATTCATCACGTTATTCCACATAATTACAGTTTTTCTTCCAGAGCAATCACACAAGGCAGCCCTTACTGCCCTTTCTCCCCTCAACCCAGTTTAAGCTGCAGTAGATGCTTTTTCCTCTTAACTGGCATCAGGCCTGAGAAGGAGCCCAGAAATGACTCGTAGCTGAAGGCCTTTATCTTTTCTCACGGGCCGTTTCACTGACACAAACAGCATTACGCATACCAGTACCAGCAGTTTTGTACATAGCAACAGCGTAGCTCAGTCAGCAAAACCACAGTGCCGCAACTGTTTAGTGTTCACTCAAGCCACCTCTGTCAAGTCCTCTCCCATGCGTATAATGTTTAATGACCCAACCGCTAGAGGACAGGCTAGGCCTCCATAAAAGGTAGCAAGCAGGGATATTTCCTTGGTAAGCAGATGGCTAGGAGAAAATAATCCGAGCTTGAAAAGACAAGACCTTTGGAATGCCCTCTTGGGATGCAACTTGTGAAAACCTTTGTAGGTGCTCATGAACCTACCCTCGACCAAGCAACCTACCTTCCCTGGGACAGCCCTCTGCAGTTACCAATGCCTTTGATTCCAAGCAATGCGGTGCCTGTAGGCATGAGGGGGATGTCGCTCCAATGCCTGGCTGTGGGCAGACACAGCTCAGAGATGTACCTTTTTGTGGAGTAACCATTAAATGAGAGTTTAACCCTTTGTGGATTGTGCAAGCTAGGCAGGCCCAGAATGGGCTAGGAACACTGGGTATATCCATACTTCATTCAGAAGTCTCTCAATTACAGAGCAATTAGAGCAAGACAGCCAAAATACACCTCTGGCAGTTGGATTATGAGTAATCATGTAGCTTTCTGATTAAGACATGAGTGAAACTGCTCAGAGAAACTTAGGAAGCAGGGAATAAATATTTGATTGGTTCAGATATCAGCCTGTGTCAACCAAAGGGTCTCCAAACTGCACAGAAATGTCAGGAGCTCCTGACTACTGAAATCAGAAATCCTGGACGTCAGCTCAGTGCGTGTTCTCCTGAGATAAAAGGTACCAAATAAGCAGTATATATCTCACATGACAAGTCAAATAGAATGCAGATTATCCTGTGTCTCTTAAGAATTCAGACCAAAACAAACCTAGGAAACATACCATTTGAGAATACTGGCCTTATTTTAATGGGGTTAAGTGCCCATTCACCTGTGAGTAAGAGCATATGCTAGAAGGAAAATGCTGAAGCACACTTCATTAGTATAAGGACCATATCTCCTCTTGGTGCCTCACAGTGCCCATTCTTCATTACTTTTCTAAGTTATACACTTGTATGAAAAAGAGATGACCCAAAAGATATTTGAGACCCAGGATTGTTAATGGCCAAATATGCACTTACGGTCAGTCTTACCTATATCTACACATACCTTCTACTACACCTTTCGTGAAGTTTCACCTGAGAAAACATTAAGGATTATGCATCATTAAAATGACTGGTGGTGTGAAAATATCTTTCTCAGAAATACATCCTTCTTTTGCAGCATTAGTGGAACTCCACAATAGATTTAATTTCTCCCCATTGAACAGAAGGCTAATGGGACTTTTTACAATCTGATTTGTGAGACTTGATTATGCAGCCAGAAATTTGGGATGGCAGCTGCTTTCAAAGGAGATTGTTGCTGGGAAATGGAGATTTGCCAGCTGCGGTATGTGAAAGATCAACTGGCCTTTTAACTTTTCACAGTTTACAAAGGAGTGACAGGGCCATGCAGAAGCCCTTAAGCCACAGAAAACCAGAAATCGGCCAGCCTTCAAGTTATCCTGTGCCTGTAAGACTAAGAGTCAGGAAGTGTAGGGTCCAAACTGTTGTTTGCATTATGGGACATAAGGCAGATCATGTTGAATTTCATACCTTTACTATTTCTTTGCTTTTTCTTGCCAATAAAAATACTTGTTCCTTCACTTTTTTACTCAAATACAGCCAAAGAGTTCTTGCTAAAATCTTCCAGAAAAAAATAAATTCCCCTCAAACAGGAGCTTGCTATGAAAAACTTGAACCAAAAGACTAAATGATAGTTGTTAGAGCTTGAAAACAAATTACTAAATGTATTTATTAAGGTGTGCATTACACAGTCATAGGGTACAAAAGAGGGCTACTGTGGAAACCTCTTTACACCACTACTTATATCAAGAACTTTAAGAAGTTTCAAGCAACTGCAATAATACTGTTAAAACAAAGGACAGTAAGGGTTGTCCTATTTTCTACAGCAGTTTTGGATGCTATTGCAATGAAATTGCAGTTATGATATAGTGAGGAATTAGTGGACACAGAATCTATGACCTGTCCATTGGCATCACAGGGCTAGCAAACTAAAGCAATTTAATTTCAGAGCAAGCTCACAGAAAACCCCAGAAGCTCAGTCCTCAGTTCTGGCCATCTGTGTTCAAGAGAGTACCTAGGGGAAACAGCTGGCTTCCAGCCACAAGCGTACTCCCCTGATTCCTATGTCTGTTGAAGTATTGCTCAGCCTCAGGACTTTTCTAATTCAGACGGACTGTACTGAATCTAATTGATAGCACAAGGCATTGGCTACAATCCTTTGTCCCCAAAATACAGCTGGGATACAGGGTAAGATAAGGCCAGCTCCAGCAGCTTTAAAACATTTAAGATTTCCTTTCTCTAGAGGAATCTCAAGTTTGTCACTTAAGCTGATTTTAAACATGTTTTTTGATGCTATATGGAGGCCAAATTAATTACGTAAGTCCAGCATGAGCACATAAATTCTACCTCAAACACTAGTTTAAACTAATGTATCACTCGGAAGTCCTGGAATTAAAATTGAGCCTGACAGAACTATGATGCGTGTTTAGAATCCAGCAGTGCCACATTCAGTGTGGTTAGGGTTGAGGGAACCAAAATGTATTATCATTTGTACATACACAACACCTACTGACTTCAAAGGAGTAATCAGGATATAGTGGAATAAGGACAGAGAAACCTGCATATGAGTTCTTTTGGGATTTGTATGCTGTGAGGGCTGCGAAAGATGTGATGATGTACAAACTTAAAACTAATGCATATATTAATAAAACTGTCCTATAAAGCCTACAAGCAACATATTAGTTCTCCCCTCCAATGCTAATCCTTAAACCTAGCATATAATGACATAGCAAAGGCTTTTTTAGAACAAGTAAGGACTTCCTTCCCAAATCAAC